AAAGGTTTTACACTTTATCAAATGGATGTTAAAAGTGCATTTTTGAACGAATTTATTCAAGATGAAATTTTTGTTGAGCAACCTACCAATTGTAAATATCTTAAGTATCCGGATCATATTTTTAAACATAGAAAAGCTCTTTACGGTTTAAAGGAAGCTCCAAGAGCTTGGTACCAAAGTTTAAGTAAATTTCTACTTTCGAATGGTTTCTCAATTAGAAAAGCAGATACTACAATTTTTTTCAAAACTCAAAAGGGAGATATGCTTATCGTTCAAATTTATGTTGATGACATTATTTTCGGTACAACCAATATCCGTCTTTGTGAAGAATTTGCAAAATGCATGAGTAAGGAATTTGAAATGAGCATGATGAGAGAACTAAAATTTTTTCCTCGAACATCAAATTAAACAAACAAATGACAGAATTTTCATAAGTCAAAATAAGTACATATTAGACATACTCAAAAATTCAATATGGATGACCTAAAGCTAATGAACACCTTGATGAGCACATCTTTAAAGCTTGACAAAGATGAGCAAGGTAATCCAATTTACGTTACAAAATATTGAGGTATGGTCGGATCCCTTCTTTATTTAACTACTAGTAGACCCAATAATGTTTAGTGTGTGCTTATATGCTAGATTTCAATCTAATACTAAGGAATCACATTTACGTGCCGTAAAATGAATTTTTCGATATCTTAATGGAACTAGAACCTTAGGACTTTGGTATCCCAAGGGCACGCACATTGACTTGTTTAGTTACTCAGATGCTGACTGGACCGAATGCACTATTGATTGTAAAAGCACTAGCTAAAATTATCACTTTTTAGGCTTTACATTTGTGCCTTGGTCTAGCAAGAAATAAAATTCCATTGCACTTTCTATTGCCAAGGCAAAATACATTTCTGCCACAAGTTACTGTGTACAAGTACTTTGGATGAAACAAACACTTGTGATTATCACCTATCTTACGATCACGTGTCTATTATGTGTGATAACACCAGTGCCATTAACGTGTCTAAAAATGCCATTTTGCACTCTCGAACAAAGCACATAGAAATTCGACACCATTTCATAGAGATCATGCACAAAAGAGAGATGTCGTATTAGAATTCACAAAAATGGAGAACCAATTGGCCGATATCCTCTTGCGCACGATCGGTTTTCACATATTCGAAGAGGTTTAAGAATTATTGATGAAACCGATGTGCAATGAGCTTTAAATTTTCCTATTACCTAAATTTCTACATGCATGACCTTTTAAAATTTGAATATATTAATTTTGTGCATAACTATTAAAAAAAAGGCCTATCGGACGAGTCAAACGAACGTCCAGTAGAACTATAGGAACTGGATGCATCTAGCAAATAGTCTGGATCCCTAGTTCAGATTGACAGTAAAATTGGACATTGTAGTTCTGGACGTCTAGTACACTGCGAATATAATTTTAAACAACGAGAATAGTCCTCTTTTCATCTTCTCTTTCATTTCTTCAAAGTTCTCTTCTTTAATCTATATGCCCACCACCATCTTTTCGCATTTGCCTATCAATTTCAAAAGTTGGGAACTTCCTCTTCTCCAATTTTCAAGAAATTCAAACTTTCTCTCAAAATCACGCTATGTCCCAATTCGAGCCCTAACTTCTATTTACCAATATTTCTTCAAATTGTCACCCTGACAGGATCAAAGAAGGTTGGAAAACAGGTCAAAGCCACTATGAGACGCTCCCCATCGCCATCTTCCGACGAAGAAATGGACTTCGAGCTCGAGTTATCGAAGAACCCGTTTGAGAAATAACCCGTTCTAATAGGTAAAAATATCAACTTTGCTAATTTTACCATTGAAGCACCTGCACTTCACATTGAAGAATTTTTCGAAACATGGGTTAGGTTTCAGTTTGCACATTAGAAGAACATGCCTACCACCGACTTATGAAAGATTTTTATAAAAAGATGGTTATCACTCCACGGTCAGATGAAATTTCTTGTTTAATCAATAATGTACGTATTACCATTAACAAATTCTAATCCATCACATTCTTGAACTTGAGATGTGTGATACCCAAATTTTTCTTCACAAAGCTCATTCGACGTTGAAAAGATACTCCCAGCCAATGCTTGTCGTCATGTGATGGGAAAGGATTTTGAAAGCATTACCAAAATTAGTGCAAATCAATAACCCTACCATGTAAAGTCTTACAAAATATCATCGAACATGTCATTCTCCTTAGGAAAGGGCATCGTGACAAGGTAAACTATTTTGACCATTTTATTCTCGATTCATTCAGTGTCAGCCGAAAGTTAGATTTCCCAACCATTGCATTAAGTCTTATGAAGCTTGTACATTCTTCTCATTATGTCAAAGCCTTACCTTACGACATGCTTCTTACCGAAATTTTCAAACATTTTAATGTTCCTCTGCATGATGAAGCTTTTCTTAAACTCCATCCTACTGACACCATTAACACACAAACACTCAAATGCATAAAAATCATTAAATCACATGGTCAATGGGTGGCTCAAACAAAAGGGTTTGACCCCACCTCGGGACCATCGACTCTACCTTTTGAAGAAAAAGATGAAGATGTTCCAAAAGTTTCGGATCCTCCTCAAGACATACCGGGCTCAAGTGCTCTACATCCCTCGGGTGGTCATTTCACATTTACCGATGATCACTATAATCTCCTAAATGGTCGGATTTACTCTCTTACATCTACCGTTGACGAGCTAGGCAGGTTACTTCAATAAATTCAACTTCAACAAGCCCAAATCCAAGTACATCAAGATGAAACACTTGCGCAACAAGCGTCGATACAAGCTCGACATAACGACTTCTATGCTCATTTCTATGCTCACTTTCCTCCGTCGTTGCCTCTAGAACCTTAGCATTATCTCATTATTATGTTTTTTGACTTCTTGTTTTATGCCTAATGTTCCTTTTTATGACATTAATTCATGTTTTGGATATTATGCAAACTCACTACTATGGTTGACTTGTTTTCACATTAATTTTTGCTCATGACAAGAGGAAGATAGGTAGATAATTATGCATGATAGGGGGAACATTTAATTTCTACATGCATATTGGTAGGGGAAATATATGCAATTTCGTTCCTTTCAACTTGTTTAACTTTTATATTGCAAATCGTCTTGTTGTTTGTCATAATGAAAAATGGTGAAATTGTTGACCTATGGTTGACTTCTCGTTTTGATTATCACAAACAAATTGCGTTTATTTCTAACAAATTGAATTCGAGTGTTGATAGAGAATATTGCAAATCCATAAAATTGAAGACACAAAGTTAGAAACCAAGTGATCTACAAGTGATGACCGACATAAAAAACAATATTAAGGTTGTGAAGATTGCTTTTGAGATAAAAGTCGAAACATAGTCAAGCACGTCAAGACGACCCACGATGCTACCTAAAATCTTGTTTTGGACAATGTCTAAATTAGAAATGTACAGTTTAATTGTAACCCAAAAAATTTATTTTTTAAGTTTAGTGTTGTATACCCATGGGCGGATCTGCAAGAGGAGTAGTGAGATCCGTTGCTCCCACACTAAATTTGATATCTAAGAGTGTATTTGATTTGTCGTTTTGAGGCTATTTTCAATTTTTTAAAACACTCAAAACGTATTTAGCCCCTATTTGTTTCCAATTCTTCCCTCATTAAAATGAAAAATATGACCGTTATCCATCACATCAAGTCACCAATTTTGAATTTCTATTTCTTGTGTAGGACCCATAATGACTATATTTTTCATTCTCATTTTTATAAAAATGAGAAACAAATGCCCTCTTAATATGTTATTTTTAAAAATGCATTTTCGAAAAAAGGAAAATTTTACCACCTAAAACTCAATTTGACTTTTTGACGTTTTTTATATTTTCAATTGGAAAAAAAAAATATTCTAAATAAGAGAATTTAAAAACTTCTCAAATTAAAGTAATTAATAAAATCATACAAAACATACTCAAATGCAAATGCACATCCCCCCCCCCCCCCCCAATT